TGCTGTACGACTCTATGGTGCTCTCCTTCTCTCACTGGTCATAACCACACCGACTTCATACGTACTTAAACGCTGACCCAACTCCAACCTTTTTGAGATCTGATGAAGGGCCTTAAAAAGTTTCCAAGTCTGTTTATCTCTCTTTGGGGATGCGAGGTTTCCTGATCTGATTCTCAACATTTCTTCTGAGTCAGAAGGTTCACGAATTAAAGGTTTCCCCTCCCCAGAATTGTGGGCCTCCCCTCCCCAACCCAAGCCTGACAGAGGGAAGGCTGCAAAGTTGGATGTGCCACAATTCCGCCAAGTGAAAGATCCCATGGTCTCTGTTGTAAGAAGACCTGAGGTTTGGGTTGGGAATGGAGGGCACGCCCTGTGTTCTCCCCAGAGCCCTGGGGCCAATACTTATCCTTCAGCCCGGTCAAAATCACAGCACTGCTTGTGGAATCCTTCTGTGCGCAAATTGGCTGCTGTATTTTTCTGACTGTGCAGAAACTGGGAGCGGCACAACATGGCGGGGAGGGATTTGACCATGCAAGGAGGGGGAGGACGCGCCCCATCCACATCAACGGAGCAGAGGTTGAGAGAGAGGAGGGTGTCACGTTCCGAGGAGTGACGATAACCAACAACCTTTCCCGGACTTCCCACTTGGATGCAACGGTCAAGAAGGCACAACAATGCCTCTTCTTCCTCAGGCGGCTCAGGAAATTCGGTGGTTCCGTAAGGACCCTCACCAACTTTTACAGACGTACCACAGAAAGCATACCGTCCGGGTGAATAACGGCCTGGTACGGAAACAGCTCTGCCCAGGTCTGTAAGAAACTACAGAAGGTGGTGTGCACAGCCCAGACCATCACAGAAGCCAACCTTCCATCCATGGACTCCATTTATACTTCTCGTTGCTGTGGAAAGGCTGCCAATATCATCAAAGACCCCTCCAAACCCGGTAATGTTCTCCTACAAACTCTTCCGTCAGGCAGAAAATACAGAAGCTTGAACACACACACCAACACGTTGAAGAACATTATCTTACCTGCTGTTATTAGATTGACGAATAAACTACCTAACTTCAAATAATGCTGATCTTGCCAGTGTTGATCTTGGTTCACACCCCTCCTGTGCAGTGTAACCTGTATGCCTAGTTCTATCTAAGCACCCTATAATCTGTATGAGAGATAGCAAGAACTGCACATGCTGGAGTCAGAGATAATAGAGTGTGGAGCTGGAAGAACACAGCAGGCCAGGCAGCATCAGAGGAGCAGGAAAGCTGACGTTTCGGGTCAGGACTGAACAGTTCTGAAGAAGGGTCCCGACCCGAAACGTCAACTTTCCTGCTCCTTTGATGCTGCCTGACCTGCTGTGTTCCTCCAGCTCCACACTGTGTTATCTATGATCTGTACGTCCT